CTTTAAGTCTGAATTCAAAGGCCATCTAGCAGACAGGAGAGATGCTATACATGTACTGAGCCCGCCATCGGGTGTGACAAAGACTGAGCACCGTGCCAAATACTTGCCTCGCGTCGCAAAACACAGTACGGCGATGAAGTGACACCGGAAATAGGCGACTCCAAAGCTGCCCACACATTTCGTTTTCATTGGATATAATTGGTATACCCGTTGGCTTCTAATGAACTTTGCTTTTTATAAGTTTCCACGTATTTTATGATTAAAAGTTTTCTTACTTTCAATTTAGCAATTCTCATCTCCTTCTTTTAAGTCAGTTTTCGCTACAGCCTTCAGGATACACTAAAGACCTTGACAAAGCCGCCGACAAACGCTCACACGTCAATTACCGGTTTGCTAGCTGATGCAGGGGGGGGGGGCTAGCAGATGCGTGCGCATTAGCCCACACCGTGCTCACTTGAAGGCCAACCATGGTCCTGTATATCCGGATATAATTCTCAGTTTAATCGAAGAGATTCTCATTTTGATCGGAAAATTATGGTGTGATGGTGATATCCAATAATCTTGAATTGCTGAGATTCATAGCTGGGTGCAGCAACGGAGTCTGTCTACATTATTATGTTTTATTAACGTACATTTACTTTATAAAAATTCAAGATTCGTGAAAAGCTCGTTATGGTTGTCGTAAGCGAAGTTTTCTCATAAGCGAATGATTATTTTAGCCAATCATAATTCCTAATTTAAATCATATGATCAAAACTAAAATGTCCATAAAGCCGCCTAATTGTAGTGTACACTGCTGTCATTCGTTCGTTCACTTACTTGCAAAAATAAAAGGACATTATCAAAAGTGCTATGGGAAGATTTCGCACGACCGGAACCGGCAGGAATCCCAAGAAATTTATTCGAATCGCTGTAGACTACACTCACAAGCGTCTCCTCCTCGAATATATCGTTGCTTGTCATAATGGAGACGAAGTTACTTCTCACTTTATCCATCCTGTACTGAGAGGGAGAAACAGCGCAAGCAGAATCATACATCAAAATGGAAGAAGCAGACAGCCTTCATCGTGTCAAGGTCACCTGAAAACTCTGCGCTCAAGAGGACAAGAAACGATACTTTCTAGTGAAGCAAAAAGTGCTATTGTCCTGTGGCTGAAATCAATGCGGAAAGAGGGCTGCTCGCTATCGTCTCATATGCTAAAGTTCAAAGTGCTGGAGGTGGCAGCTGATGGAGGCCTGACTCGTGCGATACTCAAGGCATCTCATTCGTGGAGGCGCCAGTTCATGGAGGGCATAGACTTGCACTCCGTGTCCGCACACCACATGGCCAGACGACCCCAGTGGACGCTTTAGCTGCAAGGGCTATTTTCAGCGGACTATTGTCGAGCACAATATCACCCATGTGTTCAACGCTGATCAAATAAGTAAGGTGGCGAGCACGGCGCTTCTATGACATTATAAACAGTTTGCTGACAGCCGTCTTCTTCGAGTATTTGCCACTCAAGACAATTAGCACCAGAGGTGCAAAGACAGTGTGGATGAAATGTAGCGGCACGGGCACAGATCGTGCTACAGTTATACTACTGGGATATTGGCACGGTAACAAGTACGCTCCCTTCGTCATATTTAATAGCGGCGTCTCCCGTCATGACCACACGTAGGAGGAGAACGATGCGGTGCGCAATGGCTTTGGCGTACGCCTGTGGAAATTAGGTTTTGCTCCTAAAGGTTTGCGTTGATGTCGGATCTACGGCAACCCTCCGGCGTGGTGGAATGCTCACATATTGAAGGGGTTTCTGGAGTATCATTTGGCTTTCGTGACAGCATGCATGATAAGATACTCCTTCTCTGTAATGATTTCTCAGGTTACTGGACCCAAGAAGTCATTGATAACCCTGCCCTCCTTAATTCCGTGCTTCTGAAAGCGCCTCCACGCTACACTTACGTCTACCAGGCTGCCGGCGTGGCATGGAATCAGCCCTTCAAGAGCATACTCCGTTTGCGATGGCTGGACCACCTCTATCTCAGATCTATGACCGTTTGTCCACGAAAGAGACCAAGCGGAGAAGCGACGCAAGATAACTAAGAAGGTTGCTGCTATTGCTCACAAGGAGACACAGGCGGTTGCTAAAGAAAAGACTAGCAAGCTCCACAGCAAAACGCTCAGCTCCAAGTTTTAAATGATAGCACCCAAGCGTGTCCACCTTACATAATAACTCACCGAAAGTTGGAAAGACAAATATAACCAAGTCTGGATTTGCGAGGGCAGAATTGCTCTGTTATACACATAGTCTGATGAATCCGATCAAATTTCATAGCTTCTGGACAGACTGACGGCCACGGACGCACCTGTTGTCGACACCCCGACGACGCCAGACAACTCGACGAACCAGGCCGAGCCCACTGTCGCGCCGACCAAGGCCCCCATCGCTTGCTAAGCGCGTCTTCGGATCGAATTGCAGCCAAGTAGCCCTTGCGAGTACTTTGCTGCTTTTTTAGCCCCCGTATATCGTCACGTTCTGATTATTAAGCGTCTTTGGCTTCGTGTATGTTGAAGTCGCTCAGCCGTTATTAGCGGTGATTATAACCTTCAATGACTATCATCCTCTGAAACATTTAAAAATATTGTCACGTACTTCGTAGTAGAAAAGCTTGGCTGAGGTGCTTTTCGAACACAACAAAGATCTTGGAGAGAGGGACGATAAACTAGGCCAGTTGAGGATGTGGCTTGAGGACAGCGCATGTTGGGTTTGGTGTTGTCCTAATTGGACAGTGATCTGAGTGTCTAGTTGTCGAGTGTCATATTAGGACACGCGGACTCTGGCTTGTTTTGTTCTAAAACGCATTGTGATGTCCTTAATATCGGTTTGTTTTTGAGCCGATTGCTAGTTTATTATCCCACGTTTTAGGACAATAGGACATTTTAGGACTTCTAGTAGGACACAATCTCTTCTACCAGCGCATCAATTGCTGAAGTGTTGAAAGCGTTAGCTTAAGACCTGAGTATAAGAAGCTAGAGTAGTTTTGGGTCAGAAGTGACTCGCCCCCAAAAATTCTGAATATAAAATCCAGATAATATCTATAATGAATATATTAAAAACACTTGGCGCAATTTTGAAGGTCAATAAGCGACCTTGGACGCGTAGCTCATGTGGCTTAGACCACCGCGTTTTTTGCAGATGGACAATCCCGCTGTGTCCATATTTTTTTACGGGCTTAAAATAAAAAGAGGAATTTGCTTTCTTCTTCTTTCTTATAGCTATAAACACAATCCTACCGTAATATTTGTATGTACGTCACGGCGATACGGTGTATGCTGGCGAGGCTTCAGCACTGCTCTACAGCCACGACAAAATTGATTGTGTGCGTAAAAAACCGTTTAATAAATTAGCAGCTGAATTATACCTCAAATTTAAAATATTATTAGCAACGCGACCGTATCCTGACGCTCGACTCCTGTACTGTTGCAAACTCTTCGCTCACAGCTACACTCCCCATTTTAAGCACGACTCTGTAACCAACTTCATAAATTTTTTTTTTGCATCTATTTTTGCATTTATTAATACAGGGTAAAGTTATCAATTTTCATTTTCTTAAGCATGTATGAATAGTTTAACTTACCCGTATTCCTTATGTGATTGGCGACTTAGCGACAAATCCAACAGCCAATCAAATTAACCTAAATTTTGTGTTGTCGCGCCTTATGACAAAGTACGAAGTATATTTTTGCACACGCTACAGTACCTCCTTTTTTCCATGCAGGTATCTTTTATGCTGGCGGATGGGCCACCTCAAGAATATGATCACATTAGGAATACGGTAGAAAAACCTCGGATGGGACGTTTGCCCGAATCTCCATAACGTATCGCGGATGACCGAATCGGTTTCCTGGAAGGTTATGTATGTTTAAAGCTTTTAAATTGTAAAGTACAGCCATTCAACGTCCAAAAACCTACCGTCGGACTCGTAGTGCATCGAGTCACTTCGCAATTTTCATCCCAGCGCCAGAATCCTAGCTATGCGTTACAGCTTCCTGTTTGTTTTTGTTGTGGCGCTCACCTTTGCAACAATCGCAGATGCTGGTTTCACTGACCGAGCCGCCAAGAGCTGAAAGAGGACGATCATTTTGAGCCTTCAGCGCAGTGGACCAAGAAGTGGACCGCGGAAATGAATCGCTGGGTGGACAAAGGAAAGGATCCCATGGACGTGACCAAGTACTTTAACAAGCAAAACACTCGCGAGGCGAGAGAGAAGCTCAATCTGTTCACCGCTGCTTGGTTGGAGAAGAACCCAAGTGTCACCACGGGCGGAATGAACTGAATTGGGCAATCTAGCTCTGGCCAATTTATCTGTAATTTTGGTGAATCGAAGGACTGTTTCAATCTTTTTTCTTCTCATCTTATTGTAACCAGCTTCCGCATTTTCCCGGTAAAAATACCACAGGCCCCGTCACACTTCGCTAGGCAACAATGGGCAAAGTATCCCCGTTCTCCATGCTCGCTGAGACCGCAGTGCGTTTTTATCTATCCCGTTGATCCCTAGGTAGAGCGATATCCATCGTTTTCTTCTTTCTTTCATTGTTGCAGGAGGAGTTCATACAGCTCGAATGTGCGCGCCGACGAAACCAAGCAAGTCTAAATCAACGTTCATCCCAATTCCACATCACGGCACAAAAATCTCGTCTCAAAGAGAAACTAGCGCAGACTCGACGACACGACTTTTTACTGCGTGCCGACAACAAGGCATCGTTGCTGGATATTATTGACCATGTGCGCGAACTCGGGGATAATGGAGAAGAAGCTGGTGATAGAAGTAAAGCTTCGCAGCGCAACGGCCCGAGTCCGTTAGAGCGCGACCGATTCAGGTCCTGGGCTGCAGATGTCGAAAAGCTCCTATTTGATTTCGAACCAAGTGACGCTTATGACAACGATCCTCTTGTAAGACTCGTAGAACGTCTTCAATACCTCCAAGATGGACACGTATGTCTGGCTGAGGTGGCAATGGATGCTAGGGCAATCCTTGAGCGCTGGGATCGCGCTGGTGTCTTCGACGAGGAATCCTCCAGCGAAGACGATGAAGATGATACTGACGAGGGTAGCATTCACTTTCGCTCTCCAGATCCGGTTAAAGAAAACCTCCGGCGTCTAGAACAATCGTACGCTTATCAAAGTGTCCAACAACGTGCCGCAGCAGGTATCATCAAGCGCAACGTTCTCATCTGGGTGCGATCAAAAGCTTCTTTCTGCGATCGTGTTGCTGAAATCGAAATCTTTGGACGTACCACCGAGGCGCTACTCAAGGAACTTAGAGTAACAACGCCTCTTTCCGGGGTCAATTTGAGCGCAAACACAGACCTTTTTGCACTTGCAACTGGACGAGGCGGCCTGAAGCCGAGATACAATGCAAGCATGGCTTTTAAGGACCTACTACAATTCTCCAAGCACATGGCACTTTATCCTGTTGACCAGGCACTGCGTACCGTAGAAGATGTAACTCGACGTCGGTATCTCTTCGACTCACGCTGTGCACTAAAAATTCAAGCAGTGTGGCGTCGGGTAGGGGAAACTGTTCGAGCGCGTCGACTTCGTCGAGCAGTAGAGGAACTGCGCTTGAAACGAGAGAAAGAAGCTCAAGCAAAGCGTGAGGCTGCCAAGGAAGCGAAAAAGAAGGCCTCCGATGCAGGGAAACGTAAGGCTACTAAAGTGCTCAAGAGGTCGAGCACAAAGAGGTCGTCCTTGATTTCTTCAGCTGTCTCAAAGCTCACTTCCGCAGCAACTGTCGGTGATGAAAATACAAATGAACCACCGAAGGAGACGGTCCCAGCTCGCCAGGAATCGACGGCCGATACGACCGAAAAGCAAAAAACATTTTTTCCTCCTGTGCCACCGGTAGACACAGCAAACCGCCGCATTAGCACTCATGGCAAGACCATAGAAGACAAGCACACATCCCCGGCGTCGACTCCTCGAAGAAGACAGCGGGCCTCTCAACTCATCGGCGCGAGTCACCATGACAGTGATGACGACACTTCGGATGTCGAGGCAGCCTGGAAATCTTTTATGGATACCGTAGCGGTGGTGTTGCCGGAGGAGGTTCCAGACGAAAGGGAAGAAACGTCATTACCCGAAGAGGAGCCACCGCAGGACTCAATTCCAACACAACCGTTAGAAAACACTTGGGAAGGATGGTCGGATGACGAGATTGAAGAGGGAAATAACGGGCACGACAACGATGGTAGTCGTCCACCCACTTCATCGACCCCACCGACGCCTGATACTCCCCTAATCAAGATTACTATCAACAAGAATGTTGTGACTGATACTACAACGCGTCCACAACCCCGAAAGGGATACAAGACGTCTAGGAGAACTCAAACTCAATCTCATACAAAACCAAGTACTCCAGCCATTAGAGCACCGTCATCTCTTCCTTTTGATGCCACGCTGCAGAATCATACAGGTCCGTACACCGGTGCGGGTCAGCTGAGCTTAATGGCACCCTTTATTGACGCCGATAGAAGCAAAACGTCACAAAGCAGCGTTGTTCCGGAGCGAAAACACTTGTACGAGCTCGACTTTAAAACCGAAAGAATGGATGTCTCGTTCTTGCATGCCATCCAAGCCCTTGGAATGTTGCACGAACCCGAGCAAGGAAATGAGGCAAAAACACCAGATAAGGTTGTAGCTGTCGGTGGCGAAGCTCCGCGCGCAATCACGTCAAGACGAACGACGGTAGAAAGGCTTCGAAGCATTACTGAAGATGAGGAACAAAATGCTCGCGTACGCAGCTTGCTCGATTCAAAGAATCGGGAACTTACGCAATCTAACCATCAGCAGCCTCGCTCAGACCTGGCTTCTCGTGGCGGTAAGTCGGATCAGCGAGGGTACTTCTCCTACGGGACACAAGGCAAGATATCCGGCCTTCCTTAATACTGCTGAAGCTTTAATTATTTGGCATTGTTGTGTGAACAGGCATGAAGATACAGCGAGAGGTTGTCTTACGTAAAGGATCGAGAGCATATTCACCGTTGACTACACCACCTGCAGAGGATACCGAGGACTCAGTCGATCCAGCCAGCATGGAAAGCAAGGCGTGGCATCGTTCCACGATCGCAGTGATACCGGAGGCAGTAGGGGCGCCACGCCCTCCTGTTGCTCGATTCCGTTCTCGTCATAAGAGACGCATAAACGTCCAGCAACGTACCACCGAAGCTTCTGTTGAAATCCAAGTATTCCCGAAAAAGCCCCCTAAGAGGACTGAGAAGGGTAAGGAACTTCCATTGATACTACGTAGATCACGGGCTGCAGCTCGTCGTCGAGAGATCGGAGACCATTTGCCAGAAGACAAGGAAGATCAGCTCGAGATTCCTGCTCCAGATGTGAATAAACAAATGTGGAAGCGCGGTGGGGAGTTACCGGAGCTAGCACTAGCACAAATCCGAGACCGCGTGGGGTACCAACCGAGGTCTGCGCATCCCAAACGGATGTCGATCATAGCTGGACGTGCTCCTCCTATGTTGAGTGTTCAGAGCGATGATACTATCACCATGAAGACAGTTTCAGGTGCATTGGACGAGCAGCCAGAGACGATTTTCCCTGTTGACGAAGAAGACGATCGAAACCAGGACAGTGATACTTCCGATGCTGATGATGGTGGTATTTACACTTCAAATGAACTTAATAACGACGAGCAAAGCGATGAACGTAGCCAAAATACCATCGATGAGCTTCAAGTCGCCGACTGCATTCAGCACACGAACAGTGACGAGTTGAGCGAGGAGCTGCGGCTTCTACATTTGGCGAGCCAAGAGCGCAAGCGCAGTCGTCATCGGTCACTACTTGCTCATCTACAGAACGGAGAAGACGATGGCGAAGAGGATGCAAGACGACAGTCGAACGATCTCAGCCCGCAGTATCAGCACGAGCGGAGGTGGCCACGACACCGTAACAAGAGGCGAAGTGTGAAGTTAGAGGGCGAGGGTAGCGACATCGCCACCTCCGACGATGTTGAAGTGGCTGTCCGGCACTTTAAATCCAGTGACGAGGAAATGGACCCTCGCACGCGCCGTCGACTGCGAGTCAAGACACGAGACGCCAAATCGGACCCCTGCGACAAGCTCAGCGAGGACGACGATGATGAACACTGCGATAATCAGGACGTAGACGTGTCGATCAAACTTGGCATGACGCAGAAGGAGCGTGACGAGGCCTTCCAGAAGTTGCTGACGCAGTATCTGGGGCTACTGCAGTGCGCACCCGCCGAGGTTGCGCGTCGGCCTACACTCCGAACCAATTTATGTGCACCACACCTCTATGTAATCAACCCTAAATAAAATCACTCTAATCCAACAACCCCCGAGCTCAATGAGCAACTCGAGCCACCAGATCGTCGTCATGAACACGTCTGCTGCGGCCGCTAACGACGACGAGATGCTCGCGCTGACGCTGCAGGATGTAGAGGAAACGGAGCGACGCCCGCAGATCAAGCCACGCGCGGCCGACACGTCATTTGAAACCTTTTCTCACGAGAGCGCGGAGCCGAGTGAGCCTTTGTCTATGCCTCTGACGCTGCCCACGTCGCCTACGCTGCTACCACTGTCCTCGTCACCGTCTTCAGCCGCGTCTCATCATCGTCAACAGCAGCTGAGCGTGCAACAATACTTCCAGACCGAGAGCAGCGCTGGCGGGGATTTCAACACCGAAATGCAAAAATCTAACGACGAATATCGACGCTTAACAGACGCAATTAACCTGAACGTACCGAGTGTTTCCGGTTCAGTTTCCAGTGCAAGTGGACGTTTGATCGCCTCCGCGTCGCACGAAGTGGACATAGCGTCTACCTCGACTCCTTCACGCAAGAGTAAGAAGAGGAGGCAGGGCACCAACGTCAGTATCGACCTCCAGACCAAGATCCGCATCATCGAAGTGGCCGAGCAGTACCAATATGACCCCAAGAGCTCCAGTCGCAGCAAACAGGACGGAATCCTGCCTAGTCATCACGGAAAAGAAATTGTGAACGGCATCCGTCTAGCAGAGCAATTCGGACTTAATAAGAGCACCGTGAGTCGCATCTTGAAGCGCAAGGAAGAGTTCAAGAAGGCTTACTACAAGGACAACATATCGGGCTGTTCCAAGCACATTAACAAGAAATCCAAGTTCGACAAACTCAATCGACTCGTGGAGAACTGGTTCGATATGAATCGAGAGAAGAACGGCACGATCACGGACACTTTGATCCGAGATGTCGGCAAACGATACGCAGAGGAGCTCGGTATTGAGGACTTTCGAGGATCCAACGGCTGGGTGCGGAGTCTACGTAATCGCAAGGAACATACAGGTCGAAATACTGCGTCGATGGAGGAACAAGAAGCTGAGAAGAGGAAAAAAGACAATGAGGCTATCGAACGCATGCGGAACATTTTCCCCAATGGTGTCAAGGACATGGCTGGATTCTTCAAGGACTTATCGACGTATTTGGAGAAAGATGGTGCTGGAATGGGTGGATTTGGAGACTTTAGCGGTAACAATAGTAGTAACCATGGCAGTGCAAGAGATGCGGCCTTGGCGCTGGCTGGGGCGTCATACACAGACATGGACGATAGCATCTCACGTCATGACGACGGAATGATGGCCGAAGAATTCCTCAAGAAGAAGATGATTGACTCGCTACGTATCTGGTCACAAGAACTAATGGCGTCTGAACTGGCCAAGCTTAAGAAACGCATGAAGCCGCGACAGGCGGCTATCCTATAGCACTGTACAGTGGTCAAGCTGGCTGTCTATCAGACGTGTATAATGCCGTTTGCTGTTCCTCTAACCTTCTCATCATCTATCAGACACAAGAGACCTTTTCATTGCAGACCACCCCGTGATATTTCTGATTAGGCCTTCGCTATATTTACCCATCGCGTCTGAGCAAGTCGTCGCCTGGAGATGCTGGATCGGAAGTGATGGCTCCGACACGACGTATATTCCCGAGGAAAGATAGTACGTTGGACCGCGCCATAAACGTTGGAGTTAGTCTGCCAAGTTTTAATTTCGTCGAGACTCGTCCGTCTCGTCGTCGTCGCGATGATTCACGTTCTGTCACGACTCCAGGGCTTCCACGTATCAACGGCGCATATGAAAACCAAACGCAACCAGTGTCTGTACATCTGGACGAAGTATTGTACGCCACGGTATCAAGACGAGCAGAGCAGTTTGAAGACCCTTTGATGCCTTTGGAGACCAAGATGGCTCGAACTTGGCAAGCGTTGCTCCGACACTCCGAAAGTGGGCGCTTTGGGAACCCTAAAGCTGGCCCAGTAAACCGTATTTGTACCGCTTTATGTCTTGAAGCTACCGAGCAGATTCTCGCAGCTTGTGGAGCATCAGCATTGCTACGGAATGTACTCGTGGGTGGTCTTGCGAACTCCATTTACGCAGAGTATGATCCGGACCATAAGTTTGAGAAGCAACAACAATACGCGGACGTTGTCGGGCGTCAAGGCAAGAAGATTTTAGCTCAAGACGAAGAGATCGTCAAGCTGACGAAGCTACGCGAGCACGCAGAGCAGCACGTGTTCGATCAGCTCAGTGCAGCTGGTGTCGGTCAACTTCTTCAGCAAATGGACTTGTCCCGTAGAGTGAGTGCTGTGGCTGAGATTCTGACCCCTGTACTTGACGACGAACTGCTACTCGTAATTTGGAATGCCACTGCTACAACCCAAGCGTCTGCGAACCAGCTCCTCCGATCTCAAGCGTCAGATGATGCCGAGATGGATACATCACAAGAGAAGATGTCGTGGAAAGAGACCCGAAAACGAGGAGCTGCCCTGGCGAGTCTCGTGCTGCAAGAACGTGTTCGTCTCGTGATTCTTGTGTGGCAACGATTGAGTCCCGAAGAGAAGAATTTAGCGTACAAGGCTCTGGATCCCTCGATCTCCGCTACACAGGCGGCTACTACTCTCAAGAGCGTCCTGCACGCACTCGAAGAAACCTATGTCTCCGAGTTAATCCATCACCAGCGGCAACTTTCGCGTCGAAACTTGAATTTGGCCTCTCAGCTGGGAATCATCAACGAGTCCGGTCCCGACCAGACTCCAGCCTCGGGAAGGCACCTCGCCCTGGCCCCTACTACTCCACGTGCGTTAGGAAAGCTGCGCGTCCTTAGGGCTCGTTCGCGCTCCTTATTACTAACCGGCGACGCTGCGGACTCGACCCTCGCTGCAGTTGAATCCAAGACATCAATCCCGCAGGTTCTATTGAGCGCCCTTGTGCCATCAAGTCCTGGTCATGGCAGGCTCAGTCAAATCCATATTTCTTCGAATCAAGGACGCTCGCGGCCTGTGAGCTCCGGTATTTTACCGGAGCAGTTGCTGGCATCTCATACTGATGTTCTCCGCACGTGTGAAGATGTGTTTGATCTCCTCTGTGAGGTGGAACAGCAACAAGTGGCAGCGCTCGAGCGACATAATGGCGTGCACGGAGTGGACTGTGAGGAGATAGAGGAGCGGATATTGGTGCAAGCTCGCGTAAAGCTGCGAGATCTTCTGTGCACGTACATGGAGCCATCTGAGCCTATTCAGGAACGCTATAACAGATGTGAGGAAGCACGCGAGAAGCGACAGGAGCTCGAGAGTGGTCGGTCTGATGACGAACGTAAGCTCACGGAGTTGGTGCGTGCCATCATAGCCGGACAACGTCGCAATCCTGAACTTCTCGTCAACGTCGTGAACCGCAGTCCAGAGACACTACTAAGTGCGATGTCCTTGAACGCAGGGATGTTGCTCTTCTCTATCGTAAAATTCCCTGACCTGGTGAAGAGATTCCTGTCGTTAGATGCGAAAGCGTGTGATTTTCTGGACGCGCTAGTGCAAAGGCACAAAGGAGTGCAGTTACTGTGGAGACCTCCAGGTGGTATCTACAGCCACGACAGCTTCCTACCGACCACCAAAACGAGAAAAGTGTCCGTTGCTACCGAGGAAATAGCGTTAGCGTTACCGACTGGGGGTTCCTTGGAGCAAGGGACGATGTTACTGCTGGAGTGGTTCACGTCGCATCTCAATGACTTGACTGAAGCTTTGCTGGAGCACCCGAAGCCGCTGCAGTTGTTGTTCACGAAGATGCATCAGCGTGGCGACGTGTCTGCCTTCTATCAGATGATGCTACTACTGCAACAGACTCCAGGGGTCCAGAACTTTATATCGCGCGCTTCGGTTGGAACTTTGGAGAGACTTGCGCTTGAAGACCAAACTGCCGTGCTAGCTGTGCTTAGAGAGATCTTCCAATGCCGGAAAAACAGCAGCGAAAATGGTGGAGACAGCCCGACATCTCGTGCGAATCGAGATTTACTCCACGAGCTGCAAGCGTCTCCTCATCTGCTGACGTGTCTGAGCTCCATGGATCCGAATGTGATTCAGGAGGTTTTCTTAGGAAATGTGGACGTCTGGGGACCATTTTTTGTCGACATGGTGGCTTCGAGCGACTTTCTATTACGTCAAAGTCTTGTACAGCGGGTACGTGATGTAGCTTGTGCAATGTCCTTGTTCTTTCTCACTTACGTGTTGTTTAATGAATTAGACGAACCATGTTGAGGGCGGCGACACGCTGCTACGTCTTCTGACCGTGGTTATTGACGGCACTACCGCCGCATTGGATCTGGAAGCGCTGGATAGAGCGCTCTCGGCACCAGATGTGGAGCAGGAGAAACAGCGCTTAGCCAGTGCACGCAGAAAAGAGCATCAGTGCATTTACCTCCGTGGTCGCTGTACAGTCTTTCGAGCGGTGATAGCGCCACAGATCGCTATCGTTGGGTACAACCCTCGACGCTTCTTGTGTCAATCAGGGATGGGAAACAGTTGTGCAACTACAACAACAGCTTCATCTTCTCCAGACCGATCCAGTAAAGAGAACAAATCGGGACGCACACTTCTGCGTCCTCGAGCGAAGAGAACTGCTCCATCGGCGCTAACAAGGAAACGGCATCCTCGAAGCGAAGGTGGCGGGTTTCAAGCCCCAATTTCCAGTGGAGACAGCAGCACAAGTGAGAAGATTTTACTAGCAAGAGGAGGTGAGGTACCGCCAATGTGGCAGCTGTATCTACGAGCTCATACTGCGTTACAGTCGAGAGAAGATACCGATGGAACGCTAGATACTTTGCCTGCTCTGTCGAAGGCTCGCACGAAAGCCTTAGTACTGGATATCTGGCTGGAGTTCCTCAAGGTGGATCATCTGCAGCTAGAGACAGCGAGTCTCTGGTCTGTAGCGCCGTTCGTGTGCGACTACTTGGTTGCACGCTACAACGCTCCTGCTGCAGTAGGTGCACGGCTCGAGAACTTGTTGAATGGGTTGCTGGCTTTCCAAGATGATTCTCGCGTGGCTTTCTTCGCCTCGGTATGTGGACTGGGCGAAGTGAAGACGTCAGACGCGTACGAATCGGGTCCGCCAAGCTACGACGTCTTCTTGTACTACATGCACGCACTCGCGCATCTTTTCTACGGACAGATGAAGATCTTCCAATCAGGCAAGCGTCTCGATGAAACAGCGAACGGAAGCTGTCCAATTGATGTCCAGCACGCCGTGACTGTCACGAATACGCTGTTTGCTTTTTCTCTACCAGAGTCAGCGCTGCGTGCATTGTGTGCTGAGATCGAAGGCCTGCCTCGTATCAGAGCCGCTGGAATAGCAGGCGTGACGGATATTCCTGTCTCGACTACAAGCGATGGTGAATATCCGGTCGATTTTATCGACGACACGGATGATAAGACTCGATTCGTCGAGCTTGACGATGTGATGAGCGTCTTATTGAAGCAATGGACAGCCAAAACCCACCAGACAGAGGAGGTAAGCTTATCTGAGCTGCATCTTTCTAGAGTCATTCTAACCTCTTGTGCTGTAGCGCTATCGACAGGCATTTGCTACAAACGATTTGGGTGGAGATCGAATAGGATTGGACGAGTTTATCAAGATAGTGACCGGAGTCACAGCGGGACGGATAGCAGCGCGTGAATGTCGCTTAGTATTTAGTGATGCCGGCCAAGAATTCATGAATCTTGACATGTTCTTGCGCGTGACGCGTGCGTATCAGCTTCGTGTCTTCGACACACATTTACCGGAGGTAAGTCTTGACGAGCGCGACCTGCAGGATCTCCGTCTATCAGCGGGGCGAGCCAATATTGCATCAACGCAACGAGAAGTTGAAGATCTGGCGCGATACTGGCGCAGTGTCCGCTCGGACGTGGTGCATCAACTCGAAGCTGCACATCAGAAGAAGACGACCAAGGCGCTGCTCAAGAATCAGAGTGCACTTATAGAGAAACTCGTGGCCAACACACCTCTACTGCAGCAACAGCTTCAGATTCAACAGCCATACGCTAAACGACTAGCTACAAGCTCAGCGCACACGGCAGCATTGCAAGAGAAGCTTGACCGCGTATGGCATGAAGTGAGAACGTGCGTCGCGATGCTACATCGAGCTAAGCTCACGCAGCATTACCTCAGTGGACTTTTCATTCGTTCCAACATGTTGCGCTGGATACGACAAGCTCGCAAGCGCGCCAGTGAAGAGGAAAAGCGGCTTACGTCGCGTCTGTCATCACCGCTGCTTCCATCTGGTAGTGGAGTCTCCAAGTCAGGCTCCGTGCAAAGTATAACCTCACAACCATAACCTTTGTAACCAAATTGAATGAACAATGGCTACAATTCTCACTACCGGTAATCGAATAAAGATCTTTTCGCTAACCTTTGTAGCCATATCGAATGAACAGTTCTCATCGATTAAAAATCTTTTCGCTCTTGATACTTCGTAGTTGTGGGATGGTGGTGACTGCTAGCGCAGTTCCCAGTACGCAGCAAGCGAGGTCGACAGAGCAAGTCCGAGGCATCCAGAGTGGAGAGGTGTTCGTCCGCTTGAACGGCGTAAAGCTTTGTGAGCCTCACGGAACTCTCCATGGCGCTCGCCCGTTCTTAGTGAAGCTCTTGCACCTAGACGATGATAAGAAGGAGGCTACGCAACGGCTTATACAGCCGAGTGAAGATAAACTAGCATTTACACGCAAAATGCGGCGACATACGCGACAGCGGAGACGTACAGCGAAAGAGCGTTGGGATGCTGTACGAGGCGTGATTGAAGTGTACGACAACGAAAATGTATGTGCGGTAGCGAACCACCTCGTGCCGATTGAAAACCCTGCTTCGAGTGCGCTGGATCGATACTTCCGGCACTTCCAGACACTTGAACAAGCCTATAAGCAGCACGTGACAAGCGACATCCTACACCTCTACGCTTTGTTGGAGGCCGAGAGTAAGTACATCACGGCATGGAACAAATGCGAAGAAGCGAAGTACAACGACCAACGCGCACTAACCAAGCTGCTTTTCCGATTCAAGTACGTGTGAGTGGTCTGTCGTTTGATACTCTGAATCTAAACAATTGTTCCTGTGTAGCTCTTTCGCGTTGCAACTCGAAAGCGAGACGTCTGGACAGGTGCGGATGTGGAGACTGCCAGTGTCAGACCCACAGCGCAAGCGCTGCGTCAAAGCTGCCACGGAGAATATAAAGAAACGTTTCTTCTCATCACCTGGACAACCACTGGAGGTACTCGAGGTCTACAAGATCGACAACCGAGTGTTGCTGAGTAACTTTCAGAGATTTACCGATTCGCTCTCCAAGACAAACTCCGATATCAAGATCAAAGGGTTATTTTGCAATTTACCCGCGGACAGCGTTAAACGCTGCGTTGTATACGGTATGCACACAGCAAAAGAGAAGAACGGGGAAATTCGTTTCTTAGACCCCCACGGAGCCGAAATCAAGGTATTTAGTCGCTCAGCGTACGTTTGAGACACAAAATTACTTCCCTTCACTATCAAAATACTCACTCAGTTACATGAAGCCTGCTGCACGACCGTAAAGATGCCCCTGGGACGAGTATGGCATTTCGCGCTCGCTTAAAGGTAAATAACGGCACTGAATTGCAGTTTCCGAGGCGATTCAGCAGGTATAGTACGCTAGAGGAACTGCGCACCACAGTAACTGGAACTGCTTCAGGAGACCAGGTACCAGCAGTGCAGTATCTCGGACTGTGCAGAGTTGCCATGAGCAAGATATTACGAGTGAAGAATAGTGCCGATTCAAATTTCCCCGAAGACCCGAGCGTTGGTGCCCTCCATTTCACTAACGAGGTACGTTGAATCACTTTTCCGACCGTACTCTGGCGCACTCACTCTGCTGCTATGATCATGGATACAGGAGGAGTACTTAGTGAGATATCCGGACGCTGTAGTTCCCGAGTTCCTCATTCAATTTCGCATCAGAGCTCCTTCCACCCCGCTATCAGTCGATTTCTCCGGTGAGAGTATCATTCCAGTGTCACTGGCATCTTCAGAGCCACGTGTCGCGTCCGACGCTTTCCAAGACTTTATATACAGCGCCGCTTTCGACAGCCCAGTCTCTAGAATCTCCGCATTCCCGTTTGCGTTGCCTCCGACTGGACACCAACGCAGCTTCTTCAGACGAACTGACCCTCCAGCAAGCTCAAGTCCGCATTCTCATAGTTCCCAACAGCAAGAAGAAGAAGCAAGTAGAGATGAGGAACGAGTATACACTCCGCCTGAGACTGTACTAGCAAACTGTGCGCAACAGAGAACTCAGCTTCGAGAGGATTTGCAACGTCTCGAGAGATTATTCTGGTCACGAGCACGTGAAATTTGGGAGGAGGAAGGAATCCGCAGTGGCGTCAAGATACTACTCGACTGTCGACCCCACACATCCGAAACACTACAAGCAAGAACCCAGGAGCTTCGTGGCGAACTCGATAGACTCAACCAAATGGAGGACGAGTTGGCACGTAAGACAGTGCATCTGCAACAACGACCTCGCTCTCGACGGCGTTAAATAAAACTCTGTAAATACGTCGAAGTGCAATTCACCATGCTATTTCACACTACGAACTCAACGATATACTGCTGCACATCGTTTCCCCCCGGGTTGAGGAACGCATGGACGTGTCGTTCGGTGTCGTTCACTTCAACACACCGAAATTCACACGCCGCAAAGGACGTCACAGGTCCTGATGGTTGAAGCTCTGCACCGAGTCCTTGGGTCTCACAGGCCGTTCGGTTTAAGAACATGTACGGATGCAAATGTTCGTGCAGCTCACAACTCGTACGTGATGGCACGTGGAAATCCCAGAGCTTCACGTACTGATTCGAGAGCAACACGCGCGAGCCAACGTTGCCCGAAACGTTGCTAACCCGTACCGCGCGACCTGGTACGTCCGGCTGCTTGAAGACCGTTAGAGCCACGAAGTCTCCGAGCTGCTGGCGTTGCAGTGCATTAGTCCAAGAAGCCTCAACGTTGTCTCCATCGACCCAGAGACGCAAGCTGGCGAGCTGGTCAGGGCCGGGCGCAGCCGCCAGGGGCAACAGAAGACGTCCTGCTGGTCGTAACGTGGTGCCAAGTTGTCGAGCCATCTGCTGGTCCATGAGCAACAGATCGGAGACATTGTGGCCAGGACCAAGAGCCCACGGCCCCAATAGCCACATGGCGAAGCGACGGCCCACGAGGAGCTCTTGCGGTCGCAGCAGCCCCATGCGAGATAGTCTCAAATACGTCATGGGTACAAAGAATCAACGTACTAGAAATGAAGCCATCTATTTAGATTATTTTGTGTGTTTTTCAATGCAAGTGATATTAATACCACGTCAAGCGTTGTCCTTGTTGCCTATCCGACCCACGTCAGAGGTGTGCGGGACTGGCATGAGGCACGTGGAATGGAACGGCGTGACTCTGGCCCTCTTTCTCGATGAAAGCAACATGCTTTGTATGCATGCGGCCACGCGAGATAATACAGTAAAAGTAAAATAATTGGACATAATATGACACGATGTATGATGTCGCTGTTTCATTGCGTTTACAATCTTGAAGTGTTCCGGGACTTTCCACTGCGCAGATACATGCTGTAGTCTTCGTATTGCTGCATTCTTCAGTATCTTAGAGACCAAACGATAAATCTCATCTGCAATACAGATACAAGTAGTGCAGCTCGTCGCAACTCAACAACGAATGCAGAGAGCACGGCACAAACGGTGTACACCCACCCGACAACCGGACAATTGAACCTCAGATACTACGTGTAGAATTAGAATGGTGACTTCATTTTAACATGTAAATAGGCTGCGTCTGTCAATCGAGGAGCGTGACTGTAGAAATAACTTGCGTGCGATTCATTACACGCTCACCTCGACGTGTGCGGAACTGCTGTCTGCTTTTGCAAATGGTCTTTGCTTGAGGAGGTGACAGCCGACGTAAATGTAGCGAGATTTTGTGTATCGAAGGGATCCATTGAGGAGCAGCTGGACTACGACTGGAAACGAGACGAGTCGGCTCACCACGTGTTGAAGCGAAATCTACTAATGTATCGCGCAACTTATTATTGTAAAGGATTGACAAAGGATAGACGTCGACCGGATCGGCACGATCCGATTTGGGTCGGCGCTCTAAACAAACTTTGACCGCAAATTGAGTGGTACTTTCATGAATGCCCCGTATCATTGCAGACTCGGGTTCAACTGAAGTGAGTCAGGTGGATATCACCGAGATCTGCACCGAGATGGGTGTCTGTCGTCCGAGTGTGCTCTATTCAAACTCAACCCGGTACGCAAGGGGGCTCGAGCTATTAATACTTTTTTGTTTTTTTTAAGTTGGTACATTTTTGAACCGAAAGCCTGGAACGTTTGACTGTGAGATCTTACATCTTCAAATGATAAACGACACATATTAATAGAGAGTGGTTATTCCAAACCTGTATGCTGTTCAGAAGCCCATAATCCAATGCAGCAACACTGATCTATTACCCCCCCCACCCCCCACCCTGCAACTGCCTTCACCAGCTGCCTGTAGAGTTTCGGCACCTGTTCCAGCGTCCTCGGCGGATTCTCGAGGACGAGAGCCTATTAATGCTAGCAAATGGACCAGCTCAACCGAAATGGAGTTGGATGAGGAATTTTCTATCGCTTTAGAAGAGCGTTGAATTTTAACGAGTCTATTACCAGCGCGCGATCGCAACACTCCGGCCAATTTCGGACTACCTTCGTCATATCGAGGTGCATGCGAGGTCGGGCTATGCTTTTTACACTGGTACACTTGAAGTGGGGTGCCTGCCTTCACCTTTAAGATATCGCTTACTCAAATGTGCCCAGATTGTGGGAAGACTGGTATTATTAAACCAAGACCACAATAGCTAGCACTTCATCGAAAGTCTTGTTGCTGGTCTCTCCCAGCGCCAGGTGGTTCACCTCGTTGCAATTGCGTGCGGCAATCATGTGAACAGCCGAAGCGTCAGTTTGCAATTTTCCCCCGCCGACCATCTGCCAGCAAGCGAAGGGCCAACAACAGCAGACTCGACCACCCAACACTCTCTCCTTTCGCCCAACAGGCCGTCATCGACTCCTGTACCTGGACTTCGCCCCGTCCAACGGAGCTCAGTTCAATTTCTTCTATCTTCGACTCACTTCCAAATATGACGGCAACCAACAACAAAAGTTCCAATGCAACTTGCGGACACAAGCGCGAAGCTGAACCCATGGCCACTAACGAAAACCCTCCTAAGCGCTCCAACTACGGCAAGTGCCAGTACAAGACCGGCAAGTGCTTCAACGAACGTACCCTCAAGCGCAATGGTGAAGCACACTCGCTTTGCGAGGAGCACCGCGTCAAACAGAACTTGATCCAGCGTCGCAGTGACCGCAAGTACCAAACGGTGCATGCCATTCGTCGTCGTGAGCGATCGCAGCGTCGCGCTGTATTGAAGAAGCAGGTCTCGATGGCGGTGGCCCAGCAGCTCTTTTATGAGCACCAGCAGCAAAAAACGATGGGGACCCCATTGCTGCAGCACCTCCCTTTGCACATGGTATCGGTCGATGCACCTGCGATGACCGGAACTATGGATCTGGCTCCCCCAATCCAGGTTCCGACGCATGGCTACGGTCAGAGCGGTATGGGATCACCGCTGGTGTTGTCTGTTCAGCACCAGAGCGGCCACACTGAAGATAACAGCTATAACAAAGTCTCGTCGGGAACGAAGGACGAATCGACCCCTACGGGCATCGACGATATCATGACGGGCTCGTTTCTGACGATCCCCATGCGAGGTATCCACAGCATCCCGGCGCTCAAAGATGAGGAGATTGGAGATATTAGCAGTTTGGGCGACAGCTTCGGCTACATGCCGATCGTGTCATGCTCGGATGACAAGGAAACGTGGAGCGACGACGACATTGAGTTCCTGCAGACTATTCTGCTAGCTTAGACGTAGCGATCCGCCTAACGGTCGCTGTCTAAACACCCTTGTGCGTCTACCTACCGAGTTGTTCGGCTGTCGCTATCACCATTTATATAAAAGCGCCACAGAAAGACTCTTTATCATAATTGTACCGACCAAATAAAAAAACTTTTCTATTAATAGCTACTGTATCATGCCATGCCATAATTCGCAGCTCGAAGAACTGTGTTAGGCGGGCGATCTTTAGATCATGCAGCATTCGTGCAGGATGTGCGGCGACTGCAACACCGTAACGTTGCGTGCCACTACCATACATGTACGATTAAAGTAGAGCGATATACCGCAGTTAGAAATGTGATAAAAATTGCGGCCACGATTTCTAAAAGGGTTAGGCTTTAAAAGCATGGGTAGCACCCATTAATTCTAAGTTTCCTCCTTCGGACTTCACTTCTAGGGGCAAGTTTGCATGATTAGCTTTGGAAAGTTAGACTCGTTGTAGCTCCTACTTGAGGCTTCCCACGCGACAAAATCTTTTCAAGGTGAAAACCTCGTCCTACTACTAGCTAATCAAGGTTTGAAGAAGATAACAAAAAATTCTGGCTGGCAGCCTGGCTACTTCTTTACGTAAGCTTGGGTCGGCCGAGCTGGAGGCAAATCGGCTCGGTCCGGTTCGGAAAACCCGGTTACCTTCTTCGCACTTAACCGAACACCTTTTCCATGATTAAGGGTACAGTATTCTGCGTGAATAGCGAACTGGTCATGAACGTATAAGCTACCACAAAGAATAATAGAACCCTATCAGCACGACAAGAAGGAGATGTGCAAAGGTATTGAATCCACCGGAGATATTTAGCAAAAACAACCCAGTACATTTCAACATTTGAAATTGGCGCGCTTTTGGCGATCTTTTTCGTGTATGCTCATGTAGTTTAACGGATCTTCACATTTAAACTTGCCCTGCCATTGCTAAGCTACCAAATCCACCAATCCCCGCAAACCTACGAAGCGGCTACGCCTTACCTGCGCCGAGAAGGTGGTCATTATCAAGAAACAAGCACTCTCTCCTACTATGTCCTACAAGGCAATTGCTGAATGGGCCGTAAACGAGTTCTGTCTCTCAACCACGACATGGTGGCTTTGCCAGCCACCATGTGTGGTATTTTCAAGTCGTCAGCTACAATACTGAAGCAGCTAGTGGAGAAGGCTACTCGCAAAAAGGCGCAGCCACACGCCCACCTACAACTCGATGAGCACATCGTAGCTTTATCATGCTCGCTGAGGCTGAAGGCGTAAGCGTCAGCGGAGCATGGATAATTGAGCACGCCAAACAGCTCGCTATCAAGCTCCGCCTCTCCCCTGAGCGGTGTCCTCGCCTCGGCCCTTCCTGGCTACGCTGCTTACAGGATAGTTACGGCCTGAAGTGGCGCAAAGCCTTTGGAGAATCAGACTCGGTCAACATAGAGGCTGCTGCGGACACAGTCGAAGGTGAGCGCGACAGCCATTCAACACTGTTGGCAACATTCGGGTTTAGTTAACAAAGCGAGCATCAATTCCTTGCTTTGTTAGCTTATAGCAATACAGGCTGTTTTTTCGCTCCAAACTGCTTTGAGCAATGTCGTTTTATACACTACAGACTGGCATATATATCAGGCGTTCGCAATTCACGCAGAATACTGTAAAGGGAATCAATTTGTCGGAAATGTTCACAAGTGTTGATACAACTCTGCAACCAATGCCAATTTTATAGCAATGTGAGCATCACCAATTAATTAGGCATCTTGGCTTAGTTCATGTGCGACACAATAGATTATAATCACGTCTCTAGAGAGCTCACATACTATGATGTGCTTCATTTTCAAATCAAACCAATTTTCCTTTCCTTCCAGGTCGTGTTTCTGAGCAAAAATCTCCCAACATCTGATCTAAATGTCGGCATATTCTACAATGTCTTGCAGCTGCACAGCTCTCTAGGCCTCAGAAATCGCATCGCTTGAGGTTTTTATGAGCCCGCTTCGTCCTCTGACCTTCTTCACCATAAGAGACTCTCAGCTTCCTGTGATCGCTGCAATTTCAGTGCTGCTTTCTGCTGTTTCGCTGCTTTTGCAGAATCGCAGCGTTTAATCTTGCCTCCGCCTTCCGCTGATTTTTTTCAGCCTTACATAGGCCAGCTTCTATTTTCTGCCTTGTTTTTAGCTTTTCTTTTTCTTGCTTAGCTACGTTCCTTACATGTCAGCTTTCTTGTGCTGTCCTCGACTTACTTGGAAACGACTTCTTCCTTCTTCATCCTTTTGAGCTCTTGATCTCTGCATTTTTCTTCGAACTTTCGCAGCTTTTCAACCATGCAGTCATCGTGAGTATCCAGCCGCTCCCCTCTTCAACTTGGTCAGAACCTTCGTCGGAGATCTCTCCTTTACCTTCGCTGGGTTTGTGAGATGAAGGGGTACGCCCTGAAGACTGATATTTTAATGCTGTCATTTCAGTCGCCGTACACCTCTTGTATTTATTTGGCTAATAGACAAGGGATCTTGTACAGATATATAACGCCTTTCAACTTAGTTTCAGAAGCGCAGGTGGGCTTTGCATTGGAGCGCGGAGTAGAAACCGGTGGATGTCCAAGAGCTTAGTGTTACCTACGGACATAAAGATTCGTACAGGGCACGCCCGATAGCTTCTGAACGGCAATGGCGTGGCAGATTGACATCGCTGCGTACAGAAGCCCAGTTGTATATGGTATCGCGCCAAGTGGACTTGAAAGTGCGAAAATTCTTCGCTTCTAAAGGCTGAAGGATGTGGGTCGTATGAGAGGAAAACTGAGCAAATGAACACAATTGTCGAGACATTGTTGTCGGGCTGATAGACCAGTATGGGAGACGGGATTATCGAGAATCAGCAAAACGGGTCGTGTTGCAGAAATGTGTAGCAAGAGGAGGCCAAGCCATTCTTCAAACGCTGTCAGGTCGATGAATGCATTCTCCGTTACTGTGCCAGTACTTCCAGGCGGAGACCCCTGCATAATATCACCTGATAGATTTTCGCCCTTGAAAATGAAAAGGGATGGCATGACTGCGCCCGTTGCACTCACACACAGCAACAGTTAAGTCTCCGGGCGGTTAGCACCGCGCTGAACGGACACCTCCTTTTCTCCTATATCAGCAATGACGTTCTAGTGGTTGCCACCTTGTGGTTCCACTCCTGTCTCGTTGCAATAGTAAGCTCGAGAAGGTGGAATGTAGTTCTTTTTTTTTTTTAGCACATCATCGTATTCGGTGAGCAATCGTTCAATGCCGTCTGACTTCACAGCGTTGACACGAGCGGTGTCAAGGATCCTACCTTTATGAGCGGAAGAACGATCTGAATGACGAGCCAGAAACTTAGTGATCCACTTGGACGACGGCCCCGATTTACCAAACTGATATTCACGGCAGTCACTAGTGAGATTCATCAACATGGCTTGCAGTCGCAGGTGGGTAGCTGGAAATCCTTTGCGAGCTATTTCTAAGAGACTTTTCACAATCCCATCCTCTTCTTCCACGGAGATTGCTGCCTCTCTTCCAGCAGACAGCCAGCATGGGCTCCGTCTAGATAGCGCTTGAGTGTACGTATTGGTACGCCGTAAACGCACTCAGCTGACCGACAATCAGGCAAATGAGCTTAGCGCTACCAAGGCGAAACCACTGCAGATTAAGCGGACTGGTGATATTAGACGCGTTGGCCGTCCGAAATCGAACAGTTCGAAGATGAGAGAGAGGGCGAATATTGCTATGGAAGAGTACAATAAGGCGATGAAACTAAGAGGTTGTTACGAGACGTTGATAAATTTATGTCGCTTCAACTATTCTAGAGCTAAGCCCGGGGTCAACGAGCTTGATTCCTATCTCGGGGGGGGGGGGGTTGTGGCGAGCTCTAGACCAAGCGCTAGAGACGTGGAGGCGACTACTGCTAGCGAGCGAGAGACAACACCAATAACCAGGTCAACACCGCTGAGATTGCACCAAAACCCGATGCCTAATACGTGTATCGCTTCGTATCCTGAGCTAGTAGGAGCTCCGGCTCGACGGCTGCCACGTGCAGCACCTTCGGAGGTACTCAAAGTGGCGTGCATTCAGCCTCAAAGTGGCGTGCATTCAGCCTCAAAGTGGCGTGCATTCAGCCTCCAGTAACCGATCGAACAGGTGCAACTGGGGAGAGCGCTGTGCACGATGTGGTCACTCCGTTGCAGCAACGCTTATAGAGCACATTTCAAGTGTCAGGGATTGTTTGGCGCATGTGGGCAAATTCTTTTAATCGACACCTAAATCCCTTAGCACGGACTGGTGCAATTTTCGATCCCCCATCGGGGCACGTGTCAAATTTATTAAATGCAGTGGACTCGCATTTTGACCAGTCGATTTCAAACCTCAATCGATCATCACGACTCACACAGGACGGTGCTGTTGCAGCTATTGCAGATAACGAGCATTTCCATCGTGATGTGGACGGTTTAGCAAGACGTATTGAAATGCAAACGAATCAACTAGCAGACAGAAAGGCCATCATCGAGGCGTTTATAGACGAATTAAAAGCTCGTCCACCTAGCAATGTTGTCGATCCTCTTCCACCGATTGAAAACATTGCTGACATTGATCACCAAGAGTCGAGAGCGGATATTAGGATATTCATTAGCCTAACTAATGGCGCGTCATAATTGCTAACTCGTCCTATTATCTGTCAGCTTGCTCTTCACCGTTTTAAACATCTAGTACCTGGCGTTTTCCCTTAGAGGGTGGTCAGACTGGATTAAAACGCATTACAGCATCCAAACTACTACTCATTCACACGTGTCATGTCAAATGATTTAAGCGCTGGAGCGTCTTCACAGCAAGCTAAGTCAGGCTGTCGCTGAACCCATAGTAGTGGCGCATAAAAGCTTTCTTAACGTACCCAAACAGAAATTCAGCTTAAGTACGCCGGCAATGCAAACCGACACTTCGCAGGTAATATATAATCCCTGGATGACGATGAATTGATGCTCCATCGAGAGTCCACACCGAGATAGATCCCGGCTATTGATGTACAAGACCACGTGCAAAGTACACAAAATATTGGCAGCAATTCACAAAGCCCAATCTGTCGAATGTCCCTTGCGTGTCGTAGCTGTTGGGTAATCCGTTAGCTCCAATAAACATAAATATATAAATCCGTGGTTTCGGCAACCTTTTCTTCCCTCATCGAGTATAGTTTTTCGTATCATGCCGCGGCTATCAAGCCAAACTTTGTCTAAGGAACCAAGAATTAGCTGACTCCAATTAACAATACTAACCTCCTCAACGAGGCTGAACACAATTCCTCTCTTTGACATGTCATCACGAAAGGAATTCAACTGCTCAGGTTTACCCCACAGACAACTCACATCCTCCGACCTTTGGTCGCTCATTTAATCCAAGTGGCACCGCACAATAGATGAGTGAGTTATCGAACACTGTTCACACAATACTCCACGGCACTGTCGGGATCGAGCATGCTTTCTTCGATTCATTAGCACCTCAAGGAATACATAACTCGTGGTGAGCTACAGGCTTGCATCCGATGGATCGCGAAAAAGCATTTTTTACAGTACGCTCGACTTGCTCAGCCGAAACGACACGAAACGCCAAACGCTCGCGATTTTTGTGGTCCAGTGGCCCCTTACCAATTGGCAGATTGACGACAGGGGACTACGACGGCTTCAAAATAACAACATCAATGTTAGGGCATACACGATAGAAAAAAACAAACCGAGCCAGAAGAGGTACGGAAACGATCCTCAACGAAAGTTCCGATCAAGTGAAAGGCAAAACGACAAATGCTTCATGAAGATTGCATGGCTGAAGAAACCCTGAGGCTGGAGGAGAAGCTCAGGGAACAATTTCACAAGGTCATGAAAAATGAGCATTCTGCCTCCAAAACGATTATGGGAGCTATTTTGAAGCTAGAACGAGCACAAGCCAAATGTGCAGCATAGCAAGAAAGGGGGGGTTGAAGGCTGTAGCAAAATGAGAAGAAGCGCCGCTAAAGGGATTAGAAACCGAGCAAAAGGCGTCATAAACGTAAGAGATAGCTGCACTAACTGCAGCGCGGAGCCTTGCGTTAACGCTAGAACGAGCACAAGAAGCTGAGATTCGGCGCGCCCAAGCCGGAATTTATCGCCTGCGAGGAACGAAGCGGACGTGCAAAACACCTTTAAGCGCAGCTGAAATTAGAAGCCAAAATATATTCCTTGTCAAGATATTGTAGAATTTTCTACCATTTAGCTAAAGTGTCAGTATTGTTTTGAGTTGCAATAGCCATTTGGCACGCAAGCGTCTGACTCGTGTAGCTGACAAGTATTTTCAGGTTGAGTTTATTGATTGTTAGTAACCAATAACAACTTCTCTATAGCCAACTTACCTCGGCCGGTGAGGATGGCAGCTAGACCCTCAAACTTATCAACACCGCCATCCTCATCGTAGCCACCACCTCCACCGTCACTTTCACCTCTTTCAACCATTCGTTTAGCTCGGCTAAAAGTGAAGGTGGAGCTACAGTATTACATGTAAATACGTTAAGCGGGCAGCAGCCTATGAGATGGAGTTTTCTTTACAGTCACAAAGACTTCAGAAGATAAACCGAACTTATCGTCGATGCCAACGCGATATTGCAGTGCTGCAGAAACGTAGCATCGACTGACCGGTTGCTCTGTCTCGGTGTCGGCTCACAACGATTATAATATTTCATTGTGAATAAATAAAAAACGGAAAGAAACAAGTCAAACGGCGTTTATTCTTATCAAAGGCTTTACGACGACGACTAAATGTAAAATGTGTAGTAAATCTTAGCAACATGTACGTTGTCGGCGGCAGATGATACGACCGCTTCTCAAGAAAGCACATCTTTAACGTGAGTGGTCTGGCATTTGACGAATTCATGAGCAGGTGTAAGCGAGAGGAGCCGTAGCTGCTATGAGGCCTTCTTACGCAACTCTAGATGAAGAAATTTGCTTACAATATACATTTATCCCATCACACAACGCAAAATTTACAGCAGTAATTACCCTTTTATCAGATAACTACATCTCCCTCATATACGTATCCTTCGAGCTGCGAGCTCCCCGGGTCCTCCACCCGGCTCCCCTATATTGCAGCATTGTCGATCGACGGGCACATTTCGAAAGTGACGTGGTACACGAAGGTTACCTGTGCTTTGTTGTGCTTCAGAACCCTACGCAGTAGCAGCCAGCGAGTAGGGAATTAAAACCATAAAAATGGAGCTTAGCACCGTTAGAGATCACAGCTGCACAGAGCACAGCCCTGACGATTGCCATTTTACATATATATTACAAGCTGCATAAATGGCTCTCATCACCGTAAATGATGACTACATCTCAGCAGATTTACTCAGATGCGATATGAATATTATAAGAACTATAATGATGGCTATAAAACTGGTTGCCAAGTGTAAACCACACGTACCACAAATAAACCACTCCACCCTCAAGGCTATTAATATAGTTTGCGACCTAAACTAATATGCTAGCATGTTACATTAGACATGACTCGGAAATCGCGATTTCCATACAAACGTCAGGATAAAACGCTTTCGTTATAAAAAGGTGCATGCACTGGTTTTGATCAATTTGCACGGGGGTAGGCATGTTGTTATCATAAATAGCCTCTGGTCGGATCATAAACAGTCTCTGATGTAAGGCGCATTAAAAATCTTTCCCACCCAAACTCCCCTCCCCTCAAGTCGGATTTAGTCATTTTGAAAGAAAGAGGCTACGATGCCACCCCGTCGCTCAGCGAGAAAAAAGCGCGAGGAATGTCTGCAGCGCCGGGAAGGACGAAATGTTGTGGAGCGTCATTACCTCCTTCGAGAGCACATGGACTACCTGAACGGGAAACGCGACCACGACACTGACGTTGGGACCCCCCCCAGAAAAAGGACAAAAAGAAGGCCAAGGTGAAGCTGGCCAAGAATCCTACATTAAAAGGTAAGACGCCCCGCTGTGCACTTGATGCAGAGGGGCACGCCGCTGCTGCTGCGAGTGCGGAAGAGGATGTCGATGACGAAGATGATATATATTAACGGTTTGAAAAAGAAGTGGAGTAAGTTGACCAATACAATGAGTAAATGCACAAGGAAGAGCCCGCGGCGAAGGCTATCAAGAAGTTAGGCAAGGGCAAGAAGAAAGCGGCAGCGCCGAAGGCGAAGAAGACGACCAAGGCGGTCAAGAAACCGCCAAGCAGGGACGCCAAAGAAGACCCCAGCGAATCAGAAGACCCCGGAGACCAAGGAGCCGAGGAAATCGTTTGCGCGTCAAGTCGCAAAAATGCCGAATCTGCACTTGCTTGCTAAGTAGCGGGAGACAAGGAGGTTGCGTGACGAATCGTCATGCTAGCTGAGGCTAAAGCTGTGGCTGTGCAGAAAACGCCGCTGATCAAGATGCTGTTGAAGATGCTGCAAAGAAGAAAAAGAAGGCGAACCAAGAGAAGAAGAGCAAATCCAAGATCAAGCGGAAAACGGCGGTGGTGGGTTGCTCGTCGTTGAGAAGAAGCGACGCCCGATGGATTCTGACAAAGACGACGACAAGGACAGTGACGGCGGCAGTGCTGATGACTTTGACTTTGCTGGAGGAGGCAAGATGAAGCGCTTGTGTACTTTTTGCACATATCCATCATGTATAATATTGGCTAATGCTGTATGCAAACGTATGTTGCAGGCCGGACAGCGCGCACGAAGTTCGATAAGTCCACACGGGGATTAAACAGCGTGTTGACTCGTACTAATGTTGTATGCGAATGCATTTGGCCTGCATTGAGTGATGATTGCAATCTTATGGATGAAGCAACTAAACAAAGACAAGGAAGCCCTGAAAAAGATGAGTATTGATGGTTGGGAGTTGGATTCGTCGCATTTCCAGAAGACGAGTAATTTTCTTATTTGTACGATGAACCGTAGGGCCCAACCACTCCGTTTTGGATATGCCAGGCTCGGCGCTGACTATTTGTTTTGCCAAGGGCGTTTTGAAAATAAAGGAGAGAGAACCAAATCGGTACTACGACCAGCAATGGGAGAAACGAATTTTACGTGCGTGTGCAATATAACCAGCGCCTAAGAAGTTTACAAAGAAAGAACTGCTGGATTGATAGGTGCGGCGACACAAACACATCAATGCACGACCATAAAGTCTGTGGCCAACCAGATACTGCCTTTTCATGCGAGTGCATCACCCTATTACTTCATCGTTCCCTTTGCCCGCGCCGCTGAATTCCAGAATGGTACACCGGACATCCCATCGACGGCACACCAGTCCAGTCTGTGTATACCGGCATCCTCCGCTTGTTACTGACAATCATGTAGTATTACAATTCGCAACAATAATTGTGTATAAAATATGATGTACGTCGGGCTTCGTGAACTACGAGAAAATGCAATAGCGATATACATGAATTTATTCAAGAAGCTCGTCGCAGACCGGTCGGCTTTCAATAGTGTCGTGCTCTTCGGCTACAGCTTCTATTCTACCATCTACCAAACTAGCAAATTCTGCTGTATCATCTCACTTGCTACAATATCCGCTTCCTGTATAGCAAGCTAGTTCTTGCTCGCATCGAAAACTTTTCGCGGATTTTGTACCGTTCCATCCTGGACCACGAAGCTTGGAACCCCATGATACCATGCACAGTGGCCACCTCTTTCGCCTGTAGGTGAAGCACTGTAGCGAAAATAGGTACATCCTCTCCCCTCAACTCTTGTATCCATACAACTAGCTCATTTTCATCTTCGGCGGGGAGAGACATACCTGTTCCATTAGAGCGAGACTTCCTTTTGACGCGTCCACGCGCCGTCGTGCATGCCAGTTGTTTTCTTCGGTCGCCACTGGTACAGAAGCTTGCATCGCTGCTCCTGCGCCTGATCGTCTAGACCACTGTAGAAAGCTTCAATGACCGCATTAATGTTACCACACTGCTCCCAGGGATCGAGTGTGGTGTTGGAAATCCCACGTGAACTCTAGCTACAAATGTAGTTAGGATGTTCCCACAACAATATGTCTACTAGGATAGTAAACGATCGTTCGGGCGGACCTGAAGACCCCAGTTCTGCCCTTGCACCGGGACAAACTGGACCTTGTAAACTACTTATATAGGCCAACCAGTAAAATAAGAACACGCTACTAGCACGAGCAAAGCTAGCAGGTGTTTTGAATCCTCGTGGTCCCAACAGCGGAAGGGTACCAGGCACGGGTAAGCCTTTTACGAGATCACCGAGTGTTCAACACTCGGCTGGAAGAAATAAAAGGGAGGCAATTAAAGCACTCCCAGTCGTGCAAATAGGCAACAATAAGCTGTCACGTAAAACCTCCCGATAATAATCGGCCAATACACAAAATCTCTTGGCCTTGCCGGATGAACCCTCGCTACAGAGCTTCGAGTTCACCGACAGGCATTACACACTCAAACAAGCTTGACCTGACGCTTACCTTGAAGCCGGACGTCGCTCTGTGTGCTTGAGTGGAAATTCTGTTCTGTATTTAAGCTTACCCTTTCGGGTCTATTCCTAATAGGAAGTCCTAATCAAGTATACAAATATCAAGTGAACAATGATCCGTTCTGGATCTTCTTGCATGCCAAGCGTCGTCTGCACTGTCGCATGAGCATCTTTAACGGTCCGCGCCTTGTCCCAGACGGTTAACGTGTCTTCTAAAGGTCGCTGAGTATTCCGCGAACTCATCCCAACCGCCACTGAGAGTTTGTACCGTAGATGGTCCGCTGAATGCGAATCCGGCCAGTCCATTATTAATAATAAGGACAGCCTGGATTCAGTGACATAGGGCCGTATCCGATATTTATTGAAAACTCGGAGGTGACGCCGTCGAGTCCCTTGCACGTTGGCGTCTCTGTACATCACTCGACCGAGGGTTCGTCGCTTGAACAACTTGGGCGGTGTCACATCCTTGTCAACGGGTGATAATCCGCAACCACGGAGAAATCACTACACCACAACTGCCTCTGTCGCAATGGAAGCCACGGTACTGGTGCCCGTTGTGACATTTCTTCATTCTTCAATTCACCATCTCGCCACCGTATGTCCAAGCGTCTGAATCGAGTCGTGTCCGACGCGTTTCAGCGTCTCAATCCTCGTAGACGTCGCGAGCGTGAGCAGCTGGAGGTACGTAAGCCCATCCTTCTCTTGAATCATCGGTACCTTGCTCATCACCTCGCATTACTCGACTTGTTTCTCAGGAGGGCAAGACCGAAGGTTCGAACACCCCTCAGTCTGCTGCACTTCCTCCGACAGCAGCGTCATCAACCGGTCCTCCGACGCCCGCTCCCCCAGACTCTTCACTTCCTGCGGTAGCTCCTGCAGCACTCCCCGTCGTCGCTGAATCCGCGGAGATGGCTCCTGCTGCTCCTCCTGCCCCAGCTGGTGGTCCACCACCACTCACCGAAGATTCGCTGCGCGCCATGCTGGCTGAAAGTACGGAGGCATCGGTCGATCACATGATGACCTCGATAATCCCGTACTTGACTGCAATGGCTCGTCACCAAGTGCAGATCAGCGTTGTGCCTCCTCTCCACGGCGATATACACACTCAGCGTCGTCTCGAGACAGCTATTGGTATCGATGAGGTCCTCGCTGCGATACAACCTGTTCCTGACGCGCTGTCGGCATTAGAGCGTCAGTTGCGGTTTGCTCAGTCCGAGGCTGCTGCCGCCGTGCGTTCGGTGGCACCCCACATCATGGCTCGTGAGAACGAGGAGACGTTCCTCAAGGCTGCAAACGCTGAGATTGAAGCCTTACACCACCACGTCAAGATTCTCCGCGAGTCGAACGCCAAGAACGACGCCATGCTCGCCACTGTTCAAGCCACTATGGAACGACACGCAGAAGACTTGAATCGTCTGCACTGCGAGGTCCAAGCTCGGGACGTTTTTATCAGCACGTTGCAGAAGAAGCTGGCTCGCGAACGCGAAGTGTACAAGTCTTCTATTGGCGCGAATACTGAGCAGACCCGGAAGCTCCACCTCCTTCTGGTAAAGCTTGCCCAGGGCAAGTATGTCGATAACGACACGCTCAAGGTCCTCGAGAACCAGCAAGACCGTAACACTCGCCTCCTCCAAGCGAATCGTACCCTCCGTGCACACGTGAGTCTGGCAGGGATGGATCCCGAGGTACTTCGTCTGGCTGTCGAAGGTACGCTCTTAATGTTGCTCCTTCCACCGTGTGTTCAGCAACTAACGTTCGTTCACAATCCTTCGTGATAGGTCTGACTGCGGGTGAGCTGGACCTGGATGCGCTGGACTTGGATCAGGAGACGTTAGTCGCTCTGCGGCGTATTCAGTCTGCCACTGCTTCTTCGGACAATCCTCAAGCCTTTTCGGCAGCTTTGGCCAAAGCAGCTCACCAAGTGACCCATGGGAAATCCCATAAGCGTCTTAGACCAGGTGGCGAGGATTCAGACGACGACTCTGACGAAGACAAGGCTCCAATCCCAACGGACAAGGCCAGTGCTTCGATGGCAGCTGCCGGTCTCGGTGATGCGCCACCTGCCGATACTTCAACTCCCAAGTCGGCTCGTAGATCGCTGTTCGGTCCGAAGGCGTGGAAGAAGGCGGCCCAGAAGAAGCGCAAGAAACCCCGTCCTCATTCTCCTGCTAAGTCGCCACGACGTCATATAAAGACTCGGTCCAAGTCTGTACCGTCTTCTCCAAGTTCATGGTCGCCACCTCCTACACCAGCGTCTTCCTCGACTCCCGCAGTGGTCGACCTCAGCGGCGACCAGAGTGACGTGGACATGGGGACTGCTGATCCAGGCAGCGTTCCTTCGGTTCAAGAAACTGCTACAGAGCCTTCGGGTAAGGACGTGAACCCTGAGGATCACGACGATGTTCCTGTCTCTCCTGACGCGCCTTCGCTCCCGCCTCAGGGTCCACACGATGTGGCCAAGTCACCAGCTTCAACGATTTCACCTTCTCCAGCCGACATACGTGCTGCTGAAGAGGCTTTGCGCGAGGCCGAGGAAATGCGGCTCATGTTTGGCTCGAGTGACGAAGATGAAGAGTCAAACCAGACTGTCCCACAAGGCAAGTCTGCGTCGGCGTCTGCCGCGACATCCAAGGCAGTTGAAGTCTCGGGAGTGGTTTCTTCAGCAGGGTCTGCCCCTGTTGAGGCTGCTCCACTAGCTTCCGCGTCTTCGAAGTCGGCTCCGACTGTTCCCACGACTGATGTACCAAGCGTGTCTTCGCCTGGCCTTTCGATGGAGATTGATGACGATGGGAATGCTGATGACGACTATGGAGATGACGTGGATGACAATGAATCTTCGGTGGATGACTCTCCTGATGCTCCCAGTGGTAGCGGTGATGTTCCGCCCCCCCACCGATCATTCAAGCATACTCGATGACGAAGATGTTGAAGATTCAAACAGGAACTGGAGTAATCTTGGCCCAGCTCGTCCTCCGACTCCACCTCGGCCAAATCCTTCGCCGATGATGACTTCCCCAATCATCGTTGGCGGCCCGCCTCCTTCGCCACCAGCAAGTCCTCCGGCACCAGCATCTTCTCTTCCTGCTCCAGTGTCTCCTCGTCCGTCTATTTGGACTCTCGATGCTGGACCTGGACGCATGATTACGGCAACCTATACTTCGGTGCCGCGTCGTGGTGGTGCACCGTCGGTCGAGCCGTTGCCTCACCGAGTGTTATCTGGTACTCGCTCTTCGGTGCCGGCTTTGTCCACCCTGCCACCGTGGGTTCTTCCGTATG